TGTGCGGGCAGAGGACCAGCATAAACCAGCAAAAGGACCAGCATAAACCAGCAAAGGACCAGCATAAACCAGCAAAGGACCAGCATAAACCAGCAAAGGACCAGCATAAACCAGCAAAGGACCAGCATAAACCAGCAAAGGACCAGCATAAACCAGCAAAGGACCAGCATAAACCAGCAAAGGACCAGCATAAACCAGCAAAGGACCAGCATAAACCAGCAAAGGACCAGCATAAACCAGCAAAGGACCAGCTTAAACCAGCATCCCAGCGGCAAAACATACCTAACCAGCATATGCTGTTTTTTTCAACAGGGTTAACCAGATAAAACAAATAAAACAGCTGGCATACTGGCATATTTATATATTATCAAGACTTTCGGGTCATATACGTATACATGTGTGCATATACTGTATATACCACTCAAAAGTTTGAGGTCGGTATGATTGGTTTTTGAATGAAGTATTTTCTGCTCACCGAGGCTGTATTTATTTGATAAAAAATACAATAGAAACGTTATAAAGAAATATTGAAATAAGAAATGTTGTGAAAAATTATTACAATTTAAAATGACTCATTTCTATTTGGATGTATTTTAAAACATAATTTATTCCTGTGATGCAAAGCTGAATTTTCAGCATCATTACACCAGTCTTCAGTGTCACATGAGCCGTCAGAAATCATTCTAATATGTTGATTTGCTGCTCAGGTATATTTTTGTGGAAAGTAGGCTAGTACTACATTTTTTTTCAGGATTCTTGCAGAATATAACATTCCAAGTCAGCATTTATCTGAAATAGAAATCTTATGTAACATTACAAATACCTTTTTGATCCATCTAATGTGTCCTTGATGAAAAAAAGTATTATTTTTTCTGTACACAAATAAATAAATAAAATCGTACGGACCCCAAACTTTTGAATAATACATACATATGTGTGTGTAAATATACAGTATGTATACAGGAAGCTGCTGAGCAAGCAAACTTCTTCTGAATAAAGCATTAACAAGAATATGGACCATTATTAGAAAATTGTGTGCATTGCACATGGAAAATAACCGTAACCACTAACAAAAATGTACCATGGTAATACTATGGTATTTTCCGAGTAAACCTGTACACATAGATAAAAAAATATTTGATTATTCATTCAGTAGCCTAACATAATAAAATAAAATCCTAACAGCATAGAATAAAAATACATTCAGCTGTAGAGAACTGTAATCTTTGCTTCAATATATGCCAAAATGTATTGATAATACTGTACATAATACATTCTCCAAATAGTTTTAAGATCTGAATCCTGTGCATATGGCACACATTAAATCTCATTTTACCATCTCGTCAGAATGACACAAGCTTACAATAATCTCTGTGGAAGCCCCTTTATATAAACACCTTAGATGAATCGTTCTTGAGGGGGATTCTTGCATTTTATGCTGATTGACAGGAGAATATGAATAGAGATGAACTTCACATGGTTAGAAAACGGTAAAGTATGAATGGTACATTTTTTTTTAACACATATGGCTTCCTGAAAGGCCAGATGGCGGTTTGTTGGTGGCAATTACACAGTTGTTCGTATTTGTTTTGTACATAGCTAATTTCCCAGAATTCTCTGAAAATGGGCGTACTAAAGAACTGTGTGCTTCCTGCTCAGATATTTTCGAGCCATCGTGTGTGATTTAAAGTGTGTGTTTGTGTGCAGGCTGCCTCTGTGGTCTAGGGCTGCAGCATTCAGACTGTGATATGTCAGAGGAAGACATCTACCGTCTGCCGCTCAACGTGTACGTCATTGTACTGGGCATAGGCATGTTCATCTTCATGCTCAGTGTAATCTTCTGCTGCTATCTGTTCAGGCAAGAACCACACCCGCACAACTGCTGTTACACAAATCAGATGTGTCCTCTGTTGCTCTCTGCTCCTGGAAAGACGTGTAGAAAGACACAGGAAGACATGTCTGAGACATTATTTTCTAAAATGAATACAGTCATCCTATTCACATACAGATTTGTAAACAGTGCGATTTAAATTACATTTGAATCCCATATTTAATCAGACTGACAGTATACATTATTAGTATAAATGAGTGTATATATTATGTAGAAGTGTTTTATATGCATATGAGAGTTTGACAGAGGAAAAAGGAAATGCTGCAGCGAAATGAATTACACAATCACAACATCTCTCTTTTGCACCACCCACAGCAGTTTTGCAGTTAAACTCAGGAAGTGCAGAAATGTTTCATTTTTTCCTCTTCTCTTTACAGATTGAAACAGCAAGGTACAAGGGAGCAGTACAGCTACAATGAGGTGGGCCTGAAACAATACAGTTCGATGTAAATATAGCATATAGTCTTAGCCATAGTCTTGATGAAATCCAATCTAATAGATGACCTTCATGATATACTTTGGTCCTCATATATATATAGTTCGCATGTTAGCAAATGTGAGATACTTTTATATGGATATTACACAAGAAAGACAGGATGATATTTTCAAACAAAAAGCACTAAAACCTGGGCCTAAAAATTAATTTTGTCTTTTTCAAAATGGTGAAAGGATGTACTTAACCTTCATAATGTTGATCAAGCTCATTCGATTTTATGCCAGATAATAGGCTAATTCATCTAAAATATCTAATGGGTCTCACAATAAAATATGGGACCTACCATTTTCAAAGAAAATGCTATGTAAACACCTAGCACCTAACAATAAATCAATCAATCGATCAATCAATCAATCAATCAATCAATCAATCAATCAATCAATCAATCAGTCATCTATTCTCAGTTACTTACAGTAGTTAGTCAAAGTGGCTTGAAAAAGTACAACCTTTTTCCTGGTAAGGATGAAATATGTTGTTTTTCGGTGTTAAAATTAGGGATGCTCCGATCCGCCTTTTTCACCTCCTATACCGATTCTGATACCTAGGGTTCGGTATTGGCCGATACCGATCCGATACCAGTGAAGTTTTTTATCAATCAATCAATCAGTCATGACTCATGAAGCACACTTGTCTATTCTCAGTTACTTACAGTAGTTAGTCAAAGTGGCTTGAAAAAGTACAACCTTTTTCCTGGTAAGGATGAAATATGTTGTTTTTCGGTGTTAAAATTAGGGATGCTCCGATCCGCCTTTTTCACCTCCTATACCGATTCTGATACCTAGGGTTCGGTATTGGCCGATACCGATCCGATACCAGTGAAGTTTTTTTTCCCCCATTTAAATAAATGTAGAATTTATATATCTCTGTGTGTGTGGAACTGATAATCATTCTTTTACAATCTACTAGATACTGACTACTTCATTATAAAGAAAAATAAAATAAACAATAAATATGAAAAAATATAGGCCTATGTATATTTATAATCTAAATATTCATATGTAGCTCACATTAAGCTATCGTATGGCTTCAGAAGTAACACAGAATAATTCGCACAATCGAAAAAAATGTTTAAAAAAATCTCGGATTTGGTATCGGCCCTCTCTGACCGATACCCGATCCGAGAAAAATGGCACTATCGGAGCCGATACCCGATATTAATATCGGATCGGCGCATCCCTAGTTAAAATACTTTACTTGATCCCAGCTTAATATTTAAACAACTGTAGGTACCTCAAAAACGATAAACACGGTATCCCTGTGGTGTTACTTTTTCGTTTTCTAGTCCTCCTCAGAGCCGTTGAGAGCTCACAACGATGCTGACTTGACCAATAGCATGCGTCTGGGGGCGGGGCCTTCTGTTTGTTCGACCAATGGCTGACGGGGGCGTGTTCGGAGAGCTGTTCCCGAAAATGCAGTTCCGTTCGGTGGCGCTAGTAGTGCATGGAAACTAGCTTTTGAACTTAAAGTGATTTACTGTAAAATTATAAACAACACATTGTTCTTTTCTGTTCTTTTTTTCATGAAAGGTGGTGTTGAAAGGCGCAGGAAAGAAGCTGAGTCTGCTGGGAGTAAGTGTCATAAGCTCTCTGGGTGTGACGGTTTGAACTTGTTGTGTGGTGTAAAATGTATATGACGTTAGAATCAAAGTATTGTTTTTAAAGGGGAAAATGTCATAAGAAATTATATAAAAAAATAAAATAAAAAAGCAAACATAAAATATAAGGGCCCAACTGAAATTGATATTTTTAATTTCAGTTAACAAAAGTGAAATTTAGGTAGTTTTTTATTATTAAATATGATTAGTGAAATGTAGCCAAATGGATAGGGACATGCAAATTGGCTGATAAATTTTATTTGAAAAGTTTATTTGCATTCCACACTAAACAGGGTTCAATAGATTAAATTATGTGAGTATTTTTATAAACACAAGTGTCAGAATCAAAGATGCTAGTTCTGCATTTCAGATCTCTCTCGCAGTGCATTAAAGTTCCTTTACAAGCGAGGCTCGATTAGGTTATAAAGTGTTCATATGATTCATAAAAACCTCAGGGGAAATTCTTGATTTTGCAACCAAAACAGAGAAATGTTGGCAAAGTTACAGCCGGCATTCCTGTAGCGTCCTGCTGAAGCAGTTGAATTA